TCCCCCTCCACTCTTCCCTCTTTTCTGCTCACCCACCCCTGCTCTTTTTCCTGTCTTTTTCCTCAGGTGTTTTCCTTTCCCATTTACCCTTTTTCCTCTTGCCTCCTCATTTTTCCTCTCTTGATACCCCACATCTTGCTTTCCTTTCCCCTCATAGGAGCGCATCCATCCTGCTCACTTTGAGGAGTGGGATCCAGCCACAGGCCAGCTGCCCCAGTGTCATGTCCACATCCTTCTCCTCCCCTTGAGACCTCACCCCGTGTCCTGCTCTGAGCAGGTCTGTGTTGAGGACCCCAAGAGCTGGAGTCCTGTCCCAGGAGGCCCTAGAGATTGTCTAGTTTAATTTTCTCAGTGCTTATTTATTGCTAAGGAATACACTATTTTAAAAACAACTTTGTGCATAACTTCACCAGATAAAATAGAGCTTCATTTGTTGAAGTATTCAAGGACCTTGATTGCCTGTTGTCTGTGGGTGGTTCTATGCAGCCTCCATATTCAGTGAGGGGGCCCCAGGAGGAAGACATGGACCCCCTGGGGAACGTGACTCACCTGCTCTACCTAGAGCAGCTAAGAGTAGTAAAGGACAGCAGGCGAAATGGTACTGGGCTGCTTGGCACAGACTTTGGCAGGACCCTGACAGGCGGGGGGTCCCGTGGGAGCTGCCCAGGAGGTGGGGCAGTGAGTCTGGGGGTGGAGAAGGCTCCGACTCCATCTTGCAGGGCCTCCCACGAAGCCACACATGGTCCTGGGTGAAGAATCCAATCTGGACGGTCCTTCTTTGGGGACACATGTTGGTGGTTTGATGGGGCAGGACCAGATCACTGCAGTCCCAGGACCACAGGTTGCACAGTGCCCCCCAAGTTCCATCCCCTAGGGGCTGAGGTCCCTGCCTCCCATCCTGCTGCGCTCATGGCCGACCACTTCGCTGCCATCGACGGTGACTCTGCTCTTGGCTGGGGTTTCTGAGTGACAGCTGGGATCTTATTTAGCTGACCAGATGCCCTGGGTGGGTGATTGCTTGTGATGGCCAAGGGATTATGGATACTTGTGGCCAAGACTGGTGATTGAGGCATCATTTCTTGGGCCTTCCAGTTGCTTCTGGTGGCCAGAGCTTCCCCACAAGTGCTTCTGGAACCAAGCCTGTTGCAGCCCAGAGAGGAGCCCAGCTGGTTCCCGTGGATTGTTGTTATGTGATGCTGGCCAAGGACTGCTCTTCACGCTCCACTCTGGCCCCGCAGCCAGGGCCCTGAGGCAGCGGCAGAGAACCCTGGAATGGTCCAGCCAGCCTTCTTTTCTCCTCCCTCACCTGGACTGCGAAGTCCTCAGGTGCCACACATCTGCTTAGGGCAGAATGTCAGCACCTGGCACCACTGGCAGCTGTCTTCCTCACACGCACGTGTGGCAGACACCACTAACCAGCCACAGCTCTCTTCCCCAGGAGCCCAGAGCAGGGCTCACGGTCTTAATGGGACAGGTATGTGGCTTCTACGTGGCCATTGGTTTGTTCATTTTCGACTCTCTTCATACACTGTGGAACTGCTGTTAGGCGCTGGCCACTGCTCAGTATAAGACAGCCTTGTCTAGTCGAGAGGAGCCCCGAGTGGTAGACACACAGCCGATGGTTTGCTGTAAGAGAACAGAGTCAGCTGGAGCTCAGAGGAGGCAGGGCCTAGTGGCTGAGGGTGTCACGGGCCAGGCTGTCCTCGTTCTTGTGCCAAGCGGGTTTGGGCTAGTGCTCTTCGCTGCACTCAGTGCTGAACGACAGCGGTGGCCTCCTCGGAGGAGGGGCCGAAGCCCGCCCCCAGCGCCAGCCCCAGTGACGCTTCCTTACCGGCACCTTCTCTTCCACAGGAGCAGGGCCTGACAGCCAACAACTCCAAAGAGTTCAGCATGTGCTTCACAGAGGTGAGTGGGGACTGGGCAGGAGACCAGGCCAGGAGAGGCTGTTTCTGGCTGGCCTCAAGACTCAGAGCCCTCGGCTCACTGCAGGAGCCTGCCTGGCCCTGGGTGGGCACTGACTGCTGGGGCAGAGTGGGCTCAGAGCTGCAGCCAGGGCCCTTGGCTACCCTTGTGGGTAAGCAGAGGGCTTCCCCCGAGTGCTGCCCTGACTAAGACAGATGACCCCGGGGCCTGCTCTGCTGGTTCTGTGATGTTGAAGAGACCAGGAGAAGGACACTCCATTCCTTGAAGGAGCTCCACAGGAGACCTGTGCCTCTGATGTAGGGGTGGCATAGCCCGCGAGAGGGGAGGTGGCAGAGGGTCTGCAGAAGCAGGGAGAGCCCAGCAGACGTGTGCAGGGGAGGGGCTTCGTGAGCAGGAGGGACTGACTCATCGAGGAGCAGAGAAGTAGAGCTTCTGTCTCTGCCTGCTCAGGGAGCAGGTCCTTGTGGACCCGGGCGTGTCTCCTGGGGACGGTCTAATACACCTACTAGGAAGCAGCTTTCCTCAGCCTCTCTGGGGGCTGCTGCTCCCCTGTTTGATCCTTGCCCTGTGCCTCCTTGAAGGACATGGACCCTCTTCTCGGCTTGACATCAGCCTGAGGCGAGCAGCTCGTGTCCTGGGCAGCGCCACGCTGCTTCCTGAGCCCCGGCTCCCCGGGAGCCTGGCTTTGCCCTCCTCCCCCTTCAGCAAACTCAAGGGGAGTCCCTCTGAGTGGGCCAGGGGGTCGGGGGCTCGTGGGGGCCACTTCTCTGGCTTTTTACTTAGCCAGCTGGCAGCTATACTGACTCCTGTGTTTCTTTTGTCCTCTTGGCTTCTTTCTCCCCTTCGGCTGTGACTGCAGCTCACAACAAATATCATCCCAGGGAGTAACAAGGTGATCAAACCCAGCTCAGGCACCTGCAGAGCCAGGCCGCTGGCCGCCTTGACCGCTGCCTCCTTCCTGATGCTTAAGCTCGCCTTGTAGGCGCGGGGACCGTGTCGGGAGATGCCGGAAAGCTGCACAGACGAGAAACCCGCCTGACGAAATGGAAACACACACAGACACACACACACCTTGCAAAAAAAATTTTTTCCCACCTTGTCTCTGAACCTGTCTCCTCCCAGGTTTCTTCTCTGGAGAAGTTTTCTAAACCAAACAGACAAGCAGGCAGGCTGCCTGAGAGCCTAGAGATCCCCGGCCAGAGCAGCCCAGCGCCGAGGCGGCCTGAGGCTCTGGACCGCCCTTCACTGGCTCTTGAGGTTGCCTCTGTGGACCTTGTTGACGGGAGAGACGGAGCTGAGACTCCTGCAGCCCACGGGACTTCCTGTCGTGCCTGATGTGGGCGGGGCAGGAGGCTGCAGCTGTTCTTCTCAAGCCCCTACGTAGTGACCCGTAGCGGCTAGCAGATGACCTCAGGCCACATGACAGCAAGGCTGGCCATGGGACGGGGTGGGGAGGGCGCAGCAGGGCACCTCAGAACCTCCTCTCTGCTTCAAGGATGAAGTTCATCTGGTTCTCCCTCCGTGGGCTGGTCTGGCCTGTGTCTGACTGGAGGAGTATGGTGCTGACCCCTGACTGTGGCACGGGGGTCTGGGAGCCCAGCCCACCTGGGAGGCCCCCTCAGGGGAGGGGGCGCGCAACTTGGGCACCAGCTGTAGGCTGCCGCTTCCTCCACGGTAGCGGGAATTTTGAAGTCAAAGAGAAACGATGCTTTGTTGGCTTTTTTGGGTTTCTTGTGGGTCCATTTGGTGGGTCTCCTTTGGGGAAGGGGGCAGAAAGGACCTGTACACCCTCTGGTCTCTGAAATCTCTCCTGCCCCTCTTCTACCTGCTGTTTCCTCATTTCCGAGACATACACCGACTGTATGTACATAACAAGGCTCCTTCCTCGACATATATGTATATACACATCCGTATACATATATCGTGTGACACCCCTTTCTTTCCTTTTTTTAAGAATCAAAATTATGGAAATAATGCCCCAACAGATGAGCGAAAATGTATTATTGTAAAGTTTATTTTTTTTAATAATGTTGTCTATGATGGGAGAAAACACTGACCCCTGCGTCCTTGCCCTGCCCGGGCCGACTGGGCTGGGGCGGGAGTCCGATCCGTGCTCACGCTTAGCAAGACTCTAATAAACCTACTAGGAAGCCGTCTGCCTTCTGCCTACTCGGGTCTGCCTGCTCCCTGTTTGCTTCTTGGCACAGTACCTCTTGCTGGCAGGCACTTGGCTCCTAGGGAGCTTGGGGGAGTGTGTATACCTGTGTGTCCTCAGTGGTGGTGTGGGGGTGAGCCCTGCCCTGCGGGACGGGGCGGCATCTCGGGGTGACTTGTGTGAAGGCTGCCTAGATGGACCTGTTAGGTGTCTGGAGCTGGGGTAGTTCTTCCCTTGGGGCCTCCTGGTTTGCTTAAGACATGGGATGTGACCTGGCTTGTGGGTCACAGCGGGGAAGGAAGGCCGTTGTGAGTATGCTGGCGTTAGGGTCCAAAAGAGCACAGATGTTTTTGTTTCATTTCCTTCCTGTTTTCCCTTCTCCATTTGCCACTCAGGCTTCACCCGGACCTGCCGGGTCCCTAGAGAGGACAATGCTGTGTTCCCCTAGGCTGTACTGATCCCATCTTGTCTCCTTCAGTACAAGAGATGCCATCTCCCGTCTCCCAAGTCCTGGCTTCTTCTCCCCCAAGACTCTGGTTTCTAGGTGCACATACGCCAGGAACATGGGGTCTAGGGTGACCACTGGGGTTCTACTATGTTTTGGCCTCTGCATGGAGGCACAGTGAGCCAGCCAGGTCTCCTCTGCAGCTACCACCAGCCTTACCTGGGTAAAGGTGGCGGTGGAATCCGCTTGCAGATCTGTGGTCTTGGTAAGCAGCATATATGGGTTAACGTAAGGGACTTTTAGGGAACATAACTATAGGAATTGCGGAGCCTTGTGTTGGAGGGTGGGGTGCTAGGCAGGTACCAAGGACATCTGGAGGAACATAAGCAGCATCTCCAGGGTCAGCCTGCTGCCATCTCTGATGAACAACCTGCTGTTGTCCAACCGGCTCAACAGGCGTCTTGTGTCTGCCTCCTGCTATTCTTGGGTGGGAGGGGAGGATATTTCACTTTTGGCATCCATAGTAGGAGTTAGACCCTGGGGTTGTGTAAGGTGGTGGTGGTGGGGGAGGTGGGCATCAATTTTCCCAAAAGAAAACGTAGGTGCCACTGTGAAGGCAGAATGGGCAGCTTTCCCCTGCCTTAAACGTCTCCCCATTCAGGTATCACATGGCTCAGATTTCACTATTAGATATTCATCCCTTTGGCTGAGATGATTCCTGTTCTCTGTGATCCTCTCCACATACATCAATAAAATTGGGAAGAATAAACTGTTACTATCCTGATGTTAGTTTAATGGTTTGAATGAATCTTAGTCACATTAAGATATGTGAGCTTGACATTGGGATTGGGTTTGGGAGCCAGATAAGGGTAGAGACACAGGAAAAGAAGCAGGAGATTAGTAGGGGCTGTCGGATATATCTAAAATTATTTTAGAGTTCTGTTTAGAGTTGTGTAGGCGAGAGTCAGCCACACGCAGTGTAGACCCCCTGTTCGGCCAAGTCTGAGGTTAGCTGTCTTCGCCACTAGCCTCGTGGGGATTCCTGATCAGCCAGGAGCTGCCGGCAGGGTTGTCTTATCCCGTTTTCTGGGCTCTAGCACCTGGTCAGTCTGAAACCACATAGGAAGTGTTGTGGGAAAGCTTCCAGCCTGGGACAGTACTGCTCAGCCAGAAACCAAGACATCAGTCTCCTGCCAACGTGTGCCCTTACCTCCTCTCACTCAGATGAGGCAAAAGGCCCTGTGGAGCTCCGTGGTGGTGGACAGTCCGAGGAGGCTGGCTTGGGAGCTCGGGGCACTTGTCCTACAGCAAGATGCTGTGCGTGGCTCCGGCACTGACCTAGTGTGGGTCTCACAGCTAGTGTAGGCCTCGTTCTGAGGCCTGACCAAGGCCTGTTCTCTGAGTTCCTGGCCCTGCCTTCATAACCAGGTTGGCAAGACAAGTTTCCAGGTCTGGGACTGACCCTGTTCTCGAAAGTCCTTTCAAGATACAGCCCTAGTTTGACCTGCAGGCCCTCACTGGGTCCTGTTGCCTCCATCAAGCCTTTCAGAGTGGCCCGTGCTGCTCCTTGGCTCCTGTCAGTGGTTCATTGGTCCACTGAGATACCCACCCAGCAGCCCTGATGTGACCGTACCAGTGCTGGTTAACCAGTAGCCTCTGGGCTTCCAGGATGTGGTGTCCACCCACAGTGGCATAACTTCCTGGCCAAGGTGTGTGTGCGTGTGTGAGTGTGTGTGTGTGTGTGCTGGTTCCCTGACCTGCCTCACTAATCACCACGTGCCTGTATAAGACAAAGACTTCAGTCACTTTACAGCAAATCACCTATGTTGCCTGCTGGCTGGGGAAATACTTCTCCGGATTTTCCTAAGTTGTGAGTTTAAATCGGGGCTCACTCCCCAGTCAGCTAGGAAGCAGGGGTACCACTCATTCCATGTTATTATGAGACAGTTTAGTCACTGCCCATTGACCATTCTTTTAAAGTCTCAGTGGGGGCAGATGTTTATTTTTTTAAAAAAAAATTGATTACATTTGAAGGAAAGGCTCATCATTTGGTGTCAAAGATAGTAATTAAGGTAACATTCTTAGAGTGAGTTTGCGTGGTGAAAGGCTGATTCCTGTTCCTGTGTTCACTGTGTTACATTAGCAGCACAAAATTCTGCTAGGTGGGGGTTAAGGTCTCATCTCTGAACAGTCTCTGGAGGGGAGAGAAGAGAGACAGAGATGGACAGAGGCTGACTGAGGAGGATCCCTGGCTGGTGCTTCCAGTGTTCTGAAAGGGGGCAACCACTCTGTCCAGGTGACCTTGAGTTTCCAAGTTCTGATGTGCTTTTATAACAGCCATCAACATGCTTTTGGCTGTACCTCATGACAAAACGAGAGTACACAGAAGGGACTTTGACACCTCACCGAGTGGCTGGTCACTAAGTCAGTGGCGCCAAGCATCCATTAACCCGAATCTGCAACCTCCCACTTCCAGAGTGAAGTGGCTTCTTTGTGCTCTCCTTTCCAGAGCAGAGAAAGGAGGCGAACATTTTAGAAATGTTTTACTAGCATAACTGAGTACCAAACACCAGAACAAATGTAGATAGATTCATTAATGGAAGAGCTAGTCAGAAGAGACCCAGGGGTACAGGAGAGGAAGCCAGTAAGCCCCTGGGCCATGCACCCACAAGTGGGGGCTGCACCCACCGTGGTGAAGTCATCCTTGGCCTGGGGCATCAGGAAGTGGGGTTGAAATTCAGCTGCGCTCAGCTCACCTGTCCTGCGTCCACCCTGGGCCTTAGCCTTGAGGAGGGAGCATCCTTTCCTGATGCACACAAAGGCACCTCTCTGAGCTGGGGCAGGATCTGTGGCCCACATGGAAGTCAGAAAGGCTGGACGTGGTAGTGGGGTCACAGGGCGCCCCTGCATGGCTGTTGCAAGTTACTTAGTCTGGACCCCACTTTCCTTTCCCATATCTGCCAAGGGGAGGCCCAGGGAGCCGCTGTCTACTGTCCCTTTCCAAACGGGTTTGATGATTCCACAAATATAGCCCTTTCTGAACCCACCAGCCTGGCTCAGAATGAATGACCTGGAAGGAGACAGAATTCATCTCTCAATAAGCACCATCACCCTGCTTGGTTGCTCCAATTTTTCACCCAAAATTGAAATTTGTGCAGAGCTGTGAACTGCTAACCCCGGCCTGTTCTTGGCTGTGGTAGAGGGGCATGCCCTTTGCACCCTGCCCTGCAAAGTCCACGTGCCCTGTCCTCCCTCCTTGCAGGACAACCTTCCCTGGAAAGTCCACCGCTGTGGAGCTCTGACATCCCATCCTGCCCTCCCTCCCTCCCTCAGTACTCCTGGGCAGTCAGAGGTCATCGAGCCTCCACATGAGGACCACCCAGCTGGTGGTGACTAGTGTTCCCAGAGCCTCCTGCAGGCTTCCAGAAAAACATCTGCCTAGATTTCTTCTGCGCCTGCACTGTGGAGACTGAACCCTCTCGCTCCTCCCCTTCCTGGCAAACCGACATGCAGGAGATGACAATTTAATATAAGAGCTCAGTTTTCACTCCATTTAAAAACCAGAGTCCAGCCTGCTTCCAAACTAATCCTTGTGGGATGACATTGCTGGCCCAGTCCATCCTTCACTTTCATCCTCTGTGGAAGATGAAAGGCCTTTATTTCTGGGACCCCGGCAAGCTGAAATCACTCTTCATTCTCACGGTGTCTGGAAGCTGCAGGGGTGTGAGGCCACCATGGCGTGAGGAGCCACACCACACCACCGCCTCCAGGAGGCGTTAACATCCCTACTGTCCACGGCTGTCACCAGGGGCTGCTGAAATCACCTGCTGTTCTAAACAGAGGAGACTTGAGGTGTTGTCCTCCTAGCGAGGGGAGATGCCAACCTTGCAAACTCCCCCACTGTGTGTAGCTCCCTGGTGGCCCCAGGGCAGCCACGGAAAGGTGGGTCTGCAGAGTAGCCCAGGCAGTCCGAGGAGCACTGGCGTTAGGATCCACACCGCTGGGTTCAGGCAGCGCTGGGTCTCATTCCTCCTGGGCACGGGCCGGCAGTCCTCCCTCCACACTGCCCCGAACCCTCCCCCTGAGTCGTCCGGAGCAGACCCCCTGCTCAGAAAGCAGACCCGGGCCTTCTTCCCCATGCTGTGGGGAGCTGTCCTGATGGTGTGGACAGCTCAACCTGGCCAGGTCTGGGCCTCTGTATGTGGGCACCGATGACTTCAGAGTGGTGGGGGGACACTGGGGGGGGGCGTGGGGGTGCTGCCTCTCCTTGTAAACTTTCACGGATGGGGTGGTTGCTTTCTGGTGGAGAGAACCCGGGGCCTCTGTTCAGGGTTCTGTTCATCCTCTGGGGCCCTTGGCTTTCAACCCTGTGAGCTGCTTCCCCAGCGAACCCCCTTTTTCATATCCTTACTCCACCTACTGTTGTCAGGTCAGGACCTCTGGATACTTCAGCAGATAAGTGTGGAGCTTGGTCAGTGGGGGCACAGGATAGGACTCTGGCAGGTCAGCTCATGTTCTGAGCACTACCTGGTGGCCACACATCAGGTAGCTATGGC